AACCATTGGGAAGGGAAAGCAACGCCTCCATTGCCCTAATGCTTATCAAGCAAGGGAACCGGTCTGTCTCAGAGTATGCCATAGAATTCCGCACCCTGGCTTCTGAGGTAGACTGGACCAACAACGGATTAATCGCCGCATTCTCAGAGGGATTATCCGCAGCTATCCTTGATGAGATTGCAGCCAAAGAACTTCCAGGGAGATTAAATAAATACATCACTTACGTGATGCATATAGTTCATCGACTTAGGAACAGGGGAGATAACTAGAAATAGAACCAAATGTTTGAATATGTCACTGGTGCCTCACTTCTCTAGTCCTGTTGTTTCTGGATCCCCTGTGCAGTCTGAAACTGAACCTATGCAGTTAGGGGTTATGAGACTGTCAGAGGCAGAAAAACTGTTTAGGAGAAGAGAGGGCCTTTGCTTATACTGTGACGAGAAAGGACATATGATAAATGCTCTATGCAACAAGAAACGTTTTTCATGTAAAGCCCTGATGAACTCAGGTGCTGCAGTAAACTTTATCGACATGCAATTTGTCAGTAAAGACCTTCTACCCATCAAGGAGAGATCATCACCCTTGGCCGTCGAGGCCATTGATGGGAGACCTCTCTCTCAACCTCTAATTACCCACAAAACTATGCCTATAACTGTGACTACAGGAGCGTTACATAAGGAATCATTACATTTCAGAAAATTGCTTCCCCTTCTTGTCCCATTATACTAGGATTCCCATGGCTTGTTAAGCACAATCCTCATATTGACAGGGCTAAGGGGGAAATATTGGAATGGGGTAAAGAATGTAGTGAGAGAATGAACTACGGCTCTGACACTAAGGGAATGGATGAACAGGGTGGAGGACATTAGATGCATTGAGGAGCTAATCCTCTCCGCAGCAGGACACTTACAGTTCTATCATGACACATGGTACCATTGGCTCCAATGGCTCTCCTCCTCTTCTGCAACCATGGGAGACACACAACCCCGGGAAGAATCCAGAGGGCTATTGGCCCCCGACGGAACCCAGCAACAAGACCACGGAGGAAAGGACGCCAGACCAGACGACCCATGGTGACCCCGTGGACACCACACCACTGCCTACCCCTGAAGGAAGGGGCACGACCCCAATGGACTCTGAGAACAGCCAAACCTGGTCGGGGGGGGAGCTAGGATGGGGACCTGGGATTCAGACCCCCCTCATCTACCCTGAACCCTCCTCACCTCTTCCCATCTGGCCCTGAGTCTACCCCCCCTCTTCCACCTCTCATACCCTCGCTCTTCACTATCCCCCCACATGCCTACCTTCTCCACCCCCTCTGCAAATCAAACTATAAACAACCCACTAACAACACAATAGCACTGGGATATGAGGCCACATAGAACAACCATAAACACATGCCCCCCATTCAGGAAGGACAACCACACAACGCACCACGCATATACGACCTCACACGTACTCATGAGCAATGAGCACAACACAAACCACCCTAATCGGACCGTCCTGGAGACTGACACACAGACCCAGCCGCATGAAAACACAAGAAACCAGACCTGCCGCACCGCTAACCAGCTCCTTGAGACCGAGATCCGCTCAGCACATATATTGGCACTCCTGAATGCATATCGACTTTTTCGGATGCGGTAACGACCTTCCACTCCATACGCTCTCTCCAGACTCAGGGTACTATCCACATGAAAGCGATTACTATGACATTAAGCTCTGAACAACAACAAAACCTAACCACGAATAAATAAAGGAGAACAGTATCACCCCTATGGGTAAGCAAGCCCACCCACAGCGACCAAGTGACCAGGTCTCACGTATATCATGGGCGGGTTGGCAAGATTGGCAAGACTCACATGGCAATCACCCCTACACGAAAAGCCACCCAGCGATAGACCGCCCTGTCATACTGCACACAAACCCACAGGCCACTGACTTCCCCAACCCAACCCATCACTTACCGAACAGGTATGGCCGCAGTGAGGCCCCAGCTTGCGTCTCCCTGCTACCTACGAGTTTCCTCCCCTCATCTTTGACTATTAAGTTTTATGATCCATGCCTCATCACAACACCTACCTAGAACTATACACTCCACTGATACTGCTTACTACAGCTAATCTCTACCATGCAATGTAACCTCACTAGTACCACAACAGAAGGGATTGAGATTCTTAGCTGAAGGTGTTAGTTGTATGACCTTACATGGCTCACAAACTGAGGTTCGAATTGTATACTTTGCTGACTTG